GTGTGTGTGTGTGTGTGTGTGTGTGTGTGTGTGTGTGTGTGTGTGTGTGTGTGTGTGTGTGTGTGTGTGTGTGTGTGTGTGCACCGACCGAAAGAGAGGAGGAACTAGGGAGATCAGCCCCTCTAACCATCGCGACACACGGAACAAGCTTGCGGGAACACGGAAATCACGGAAATCACTGACCTGTCCTCGGTGATCAACTAGCTATTTCAAGTGATAGTGACGAGTTGCTATCGTTGAAGACATCGCACCAAAATATTAAAAGTGATTCGAACGATCGACGAGGCTCAAGAGGAAGGCTTAATTGATCATTAGTTAGTCGAATCTTGGGAAAGAAACGAGATTTTATTAGAATCAGAATTTTATTAGAATATTTGTCGTTGTTGTTCATAATAATAAACATGAAGATGATTTGATTAATTAATGTGGTTTAGGAGGAAATTTAATTTATCGTAATTGGTAGAATTTTTGGAAAGAAACTGAGATTTTTGTTACTAGATCTTTGTCATTATAATTGTTAATGAAATTTAAAGGTGATTTGAACGATCGATGAGGTTTAAGAGAAAGTTTAATTTGGGAATCTTGGGAAAGAAATTTTATTAGAATTAGGATGAAACATAGACATGAAGGTGATTGGAATAATTAATGTGGTTTAAGAAGAAATTTAATTTATCATTAATTGGGAAAGAAACGAGATTTTATTAGAATCAGACTCTTTGTCGTCGTTGTTGATAATAATAAACATGAAGATGATTAATTAATGTGGTTTAAGAGGAAATTTAATTTAAGAGAAAATTTAATTTATCATAGTTGGTAGAATTTTTGGAAAGAAACTGAGACTTTTGTTGTTTGAATCTTTGTCTCGTTATGGGAATTTTTTCTTGTTTGTTACTGATATAGTATATTTGGTATTTGATAAAATTTTGGAAAAGAAACGAAATTTTTGATAACGTGCTTATCTATGAATTCTTTTCGTTTACTAATGAAACATTTTTATTCAATTGTGAACTTTTATATGGCGTTTGTTTTTTTTTTTTTTTTTTTTTTTTTTGAAGAATGAAACGTGTTGGAATTATTTTCGTGTTGAATTACAAGAAAAGAAATTCAAAAGGTCCTTTGATGAAACAGAATAGACTATAATAGAATTATTAATAAAATATTAGGACAGAGAGATATATGTCATTTCCTGTATAACATTTACCTTGTCGAAGTGGCGTTGAATTTATAGGTTCTTTCTAATTCTGAGTCAGGCTGAATCATAACGACGTTATTTTCGTGCTTCAAACTTCAGACATAGAATAGCAGTTTGACGATTACGTTATTTTATCACGTTGTTTCAAGTTTCACGTATGAACTAACTAACAACAGAATGCAATTTTCTCAATATCAAGGGCGCAACTGGATTTTTCTAAATGTCAAAAATATAAAAAATATAAAAGGTACAAAGCGCAGAGAAACAAATAACATTCCAAACACTCCATTATAAAAGCAACGCACGAATATCAGGTTTGTTCAACGCATATTGCACCATCGATCTCTATATTATACACACGACCGATTATCTATTTGCAATATCATTCGCACATTTCTCATTGAACAAACAAACCTTTCACTCTTTACCACAAAAACGACATCGAAGTTAACAAACATACAATAACAGATCTGATGAGATAATTTCAATAATTACGAGAAACATACGTTAGAAAATGAGCAGTGAATTGAACGGTCGACTAAACGAAACGTTTCTGCGTGGATTGTGATACAGCATGGACACGCACAGGTGGGCGTAGAGAAACGTCAGATTTAATTGCCGCGGCATGTGCACCGACCTAATATTAGTCGTGACTCAAAGTGTGACTTTTCGCCTTTCGGTGAAAGAAGAGAAAAGAGTTTGTTTAGTCGCCCCGGTTAAAAATAAGACCCCTCCCTTCTACATTAGAGCGGAGTTCGGGGTAATGGATCATGGGATATTGCCTGCCCACGAATATCCCCGTTGAAAAGAGTTCGCTCGACTCCGAAACGGAAGCCAATATTTATCGTTGGTATCCTTGTACGACGGAGGATTCAAATTACGCTGAACCACTTTGATGAAATAAAAATGACTGACGTCACTTCGAGGAAATAATGAGGAAAGATAGAAAATTCAGGCTCGAAGAAGTAACGAAAGCTACGTGAAAAAAAGAAAAATAATAAAAAAAAAAAATTGTAAAACTTCAGACACCAAAATTGAGAAACGTTCGAACCATAAATATTTCGCAACGATAGCGATTATAAAGTGGGGAAAAATTGATCTACGCGTGAGTTACGAAAATTCAGAAATACACGAATAATCAAAAGATGACGAACGATTCTAAAATTTCACCAAAGATGAGAAAAATTTTTGTTACAAATTTTTTTTTTTTAAATCACTCAAATGTCAGATTTAAACAAATATGCGTCAAAAACTAAAAGTGCAACGGGATCGGAATCAAAAAATGTGCAACGAAACACTGAAAGTTCGAAGCTGGTTAGCTAGTGGGTGGTCGCATAATTATTTTTTTCGCAGAAAGCAACGGGAACGAACGGTGTCGAATTTCAGAGAGCTGTCGCAACATCTCACTGCCACATATCGTGATTTGTTATCCATTCATATTTCTCTCTCTCTCTCTCTCTCTCTCTGATAATTGCGACATGTCACTCTTTTCCGGTAACACTGTTCTACGTCGAATCTGGTATATCGGCTAGTTGCTGAATGAAACTGCCATTCGACTTAGGACAGATGCGTATTATTAATAACTCGTGGCACCGACTGCGATCCGACGATATTTTGGCAACGCGCGAACCAATTTACTGCAACGCGGCTGGCAATCAGAAAAATCGCTTGGCTTCTGAAAGATCGACACCGGTTAGAATTAACCGCGGATGTTCCACGATGTTCGACGTTTTGGAATCCGAACGTGTTCGTTAAAATCGGACCGCGAGAACGTGCACGTATTTTTGGGAGAAGAGGACATCTAGTTGGGAGAAACGACGTTTGCATTTGCAGCTAATCGGCGTGAGACATTTGTAAATTAGTAAGATATAATATTGACACACTGAGTGATATTATGAAGAATGTTATAAAATTGTTAAATTACAAGTACGTTTAGCAAAAATATTAAGCGTAGTGTATCAGTGTAAGCCATTTGGTGCAATAAAAGGTTGCTACGTTACGTTAGAAAATATACTACTTCGACGAAAGCGAGCAAAAAATTGAATTATGCGTAAATTGTTGAGTATATGAAATAGAATTACATAAACAATGGTATTCCAATTTTCTTTCTGACGAAAATTTGGAGGGGCTGCAACACTTACCAATATCTAGACGAGCGCTGCAAATCGCCTTGCCAGCAGCGTTCTCCGCCACGCATGAAATCGTACCGACATGCGTGCTACCGGTCTCTGGTATCGTCAGCACTTGCCGATCCCCGCTGACCGACACCAAGAAGTCCTTGCCATGTACAGGACGATCGTTAAACAGCCATTGAATCTGAAAGGCCCAATCAATTATATTACATTTCTCCAGAATTAATTGCGAATCTCACGATGTGCTATCTGAGCCACAGATTTCGAAACTAAATATATACAAATTCGACGTCGTAAAAAATTCTGAGAGCAAACTTCTTTCATGATAGAATCGATCCACACAGAAAATTCCATTTTTAGGAAATTTATTTTTAGTTTATTATTTATTTTTTAATTTATTTTTCGCGTGCCGAAATAACAAACAAACATAATAATAATAAACAAACAGTCTCTACAACAGCGAATGTACACAATATATGATTCATAAGTGCATATAATATTAGAACAATCTGATAATTAAATAATACTAAAATAATGCCAAATAGTAACAAAATATTAAAACGATACTGTTAGTAATAAAATAGTAATAAAATATTAAAACGATAATGTTATATACTATATTAGATACTATACAATATTAAATATTAATGTTAGATATTATACAATATTAAAATAATGCTGGTAAGCAATGCTAAAACAAACATTATGATAACGGTATAGCGAAACAGTTCTAAAACAATACTATTGGCACAGATAATCCTCCATACAATTTTCCATACGCAAATAAACAAGCAACTGCGTAGTTCTTATTCTAGAGGTCGATCGTAAACAAAACGTCGTGTCACAACTCGGTCCGGTAGGAAAGTGGAATCCAAATCGAAGGTGAAATTTCACGAACGATACGATACGATACGATACGATATCGATACCTGATCCGCGAGCGTCGCTGAAAATTTCGCGGAGAACCTCTCGCGGCGCGGCTGTGCCCGCGAATTTCCACATCAGGTACATTGTTCCCGTTTAAATATAACCGGGAGGCACGAAATTACTCTTGGTCGGCCACCTCCTGACAGGCTGGCCAACTCTCTTGGCCCCATCTTTTACACGTCCCTCGACACCTTTTCGAAAATCGCTCCGAAATCCGGCTCAACCACGGCTGACTTGCTTGATCTCTTCCCATCGATTAGTAGACGCGAACATTTCGCAACATTTAGCATGTCGATGCGAGTACTACGCGGCTTGAAGGTTGTGACATATTTTTACTTCTTAATTGTACCATCGGTTGATTTGTTCGAGACTAGGATCTGTGATTTTAATAATGATTAAAAGCGGCTTGAAAGTTGTGGCATATTTTTACTTCTTAATTGTACCATCGGTTGATTTGTTCGAGACTAGGATCTGTGATTTTAATAATGATTAAAAACGGCTTGAAAGTTGTGGCATATTTTTACTTCTTAATTGTACCATCGGTTGATTTGTTCGAGACTAGGATCTGTGATTTTAATAATGATTAAAAACGGCTTGAAAGTTGTGGCATATTTTTACTTCTTAATTGTACCATCGGTTGATTTGTTCGAGACTAGGATCTGTGATTTTAATAATGATTGTGAAGTCGAAAGTTTGGATATTTTTTTTGATAATATTCAAGGTAAATTGTATGGAGGATTATCTGTGCTAATAGTATTGTTTTAAAACTATTTCGGTATACCGTTATTTTAATGTTTTAGCATTGCTTACTAGTATTATTTTAATATTGTATAATATCTAACATTAATATTTAATATTGTATAGTATCTAATATAGTATATAACATTATCGTTTTAATATTTTATTACTATTGTATTACTAATAGTGTCGTTTTAATATTTTATTACTATTTGGTATTTTTTTGTAGTAAATGGTATTATTTCTATGGCCGTGAGTTTTCGATATTTCTTTAATAATGTTCAAGATTGTTTCGTGGTTACTTGTCTGTGGTTGTGAGTCGAGAGTGTTAATATTTTAATGATAGTGAAAGTGATGTTGAAATAATGATACAGTGATTCAGCCCTGCTGTCACTCTGTTTCCCATTTCGCTGTTAAATTTCTTAAAAATTCCACGAGTGCGGGATCGATTTGGTAAAGTGAAAGAAAAAATATTGAGGTTCAGAAACAGATAATAAATTTTATAATAGTCTATAGTTGTTAAGATGATTGATATTCTTGAATCTTCATTGTAACACACAACTAATTAGCAATGATGTTGTTAATTACATCTGTTCTTGAAATGTGTAAATTATAACTATCAATGTTCAAATAATCTTCGATTTTTGAAAAGAAAAGATAATGTACATTATTTAAATTTTATATATGATTTTACATATATTATGTAATATATTGTAACATTCTTTTAGAATATAATTTTTATATATTTAATTTATATGTTTCAAGGGCAAACATAATTGTTTATAAGAACGAGACATATCGTATGAAATTCATATTAAGTAAGAAGAATGCAACTCACTTTCGGAGCCGGTTTTCCAATCACGATGCACTCGAATTTCGTGGAAACGCCTTCCGATACTCTTCTGTCTTCAAATTTCTCCTTAAACGTTGGAGCGATCAGTTTCTCCTCCATCTGCACGAATTCTTCTTTCCTCCTAAAATCGCCCAACGATCTCACCACCAACCGAGCAAAAGCTTTCGCCTCTCCGTGCGCGTTAAACGCTCTGACCACGTAATTCCCTTTATCCTCAGGAATCGTCGAGGAAATCTTGAGAATGCTCGTACCATCTTCCTTCTGCTGAATCTGAATCCAAGTAAATACGGATTGTCGAAATAAGTGGCAGTAGAGTTGCTCTAACGTTCACTACTAGACTTGAGTTAAAAATACAAGAAAGAAAGAAAAAATAAATTTGATGCACAGAGGGGAAGACAACTTTCTTCAAAATACATGCAATCATCGGATCGTTTTTTCGAACGTTGATTATTATGGGTGGGTCATCGCTTTTAGCAAACAACTCTTTGAGAACAGTTTACAAGTTTCTTATCGTTTAATTTTTGAAAATATGGCAGTCGTGAATCGTTTGAGAATAATGTGTCAATAACATAATTTAGTAATTATAATAATATAGTAATATTATTATAATATAGTTATATATAATATAGTATTAATATTAATAATAATTATTAATATAATATAGTAGTTGTTTCTTTCTTCTATATTATATTAATATTATACTGTTATTACTATATTATATATAACTATATTATAAAAATATTACTATATTATTATAATTATTAAATTAAATTATTAAATTATTAATATAATATAGTAATTGTTTCTTTCTTCTATATTATATTAAACTATTACTATATTGTATTACTGTATTATATTAATATTATATTGTTATTACTATATTATATATAACTATATTATAATAATATTGCTATATTATTATAATTATTCAATTATTAATATAATATAGTAATTGTTTCTTTCTTAATTTCTATGTTGTTGTTATTACTATATAATACAGTTATAATATAGTAATAGTGTAATATAATATGTTATTACTATATAATATAGTAATAGTTTAATATAATATATAAGAAAGAAAAAATTACTATATTATTAATATAATATAGTAATTGTTTCTTTCTTCAATTATTAAAATAATTTATAAAGCTACAATGATCAATAATAGAAAGATCATAGAAGAAGAAGTATACTGTCAAGTCAAATTTTAAGACCAACATTACTAAAAATACAATAATAACAATAATACATCTTTTCCTTCAAATATCATACATAAGACTAGTTGAAAAGTCAATGAAAGAAAAATCCGATGCAAAAATTTGCTCCCGAGCTGCACTCAAAGCATTGAGGTTCTCTCAAGTATAAAATTATCCCTGCCCGAGGGTCGAAGACAAAAATTTGACGAGAAACACTCACCAGGATACGTTCGCTCTTAGTGATCTCGCCACTGTCAGAGAACCATTTGAGTTCCGGTTTCGGCTCCCCGATTACCGCGCACTCGAAGATGGCGGTCTCGCCTTCCGCTACCAAAGAATCTGTCGGAAGTTTGACGAACTTTGGAGGTGAACCAGCGGCGAATGTTTCTTCCGCTTCTGTCTCTGTTTTGTCCAATTTCGCCGGAACAGCCACCGCTGAATCGAGGGTATATTTTTGTCATTGTTGCGAGCGGGTCTTGATGACAAAATGACGGAGGAAACGATGTGTTCTACGTACGTGTCACTGTTAAGGTGCACTGACTAGACGCTTCGCCGCCGGAGTTAATGGCGACTACTTTGTACACACCGGCGTCGTCCAAGAGAGCTTCGTGTATGACCAAGGAACACTTGTCGCCCTGGAACAACAGCTGGAAATCGGCCGACTCCTTCACAGGTTGATCGTCGTGGTACCAAATCACCTGTGCCAACAAATTTACAAATTTTCTGTTATAAAAAGAGTTCTTCTCGTTTAGAAATCAGAAATGTAGAAACAACGACGGCAATTTCAGTTGTTCGATTGATCTTCTGGCGAATTTAGATACGATATTATACTTATTATAATAATAATTGTAATAATTACATTTTATATTTGTATAACATTATATATATATATATTTTATATATAATATTATATAGATATAAATATTATATTATTATAATATAATATTTCTAATAATTACATTTATTATATTTATATAATTTTCTCACATTTATATTTATCACATTTACATTTCTGGAACGGAGGAAACTATTATAGTATAGAAAATTTCTGAACAATGAAATTAATCTGTCCAAGACATTCATTTCTATAAACTTCCGAATTCCGTTCAACTATTTCATAAAATCGTCAAATATTACTTCAATCCAAATCAACGTCAACGGATACTTCGTTCAGATTTTTTCGACGAAAATTTTCGTTTACAAAAGGAAAGCTGCGAACGCTCGTAACCAAGGATTTAATCACTTGGCTTCGCGGCAACACCAATTTCACAAAACACTCACTTCCGGCTCAGGTTGGCCAACGATCACGCAGTCCAGCCGAACGGACAAGCCCTCCTGAACCTTCAGATCCTTCAACGGCATCTGAATCTTCGGCACCACCGGCTCCATGTCGCTGCCAGCGAACTCCGAGTCGCTGGTCTCGTGAGGAAGCCGCCCTTTCACCGAAACGTTGCACGACACCGTGGCCTCGCCGGCGTTGTTCTTAGCGACGACCGTGTAACATCCGGCATCCTTGGCGAACGCCTCCGCGATGACCAAACTGGTCCGTCCGGCGTCGGTCTGTGTCTGAAACCAGAGCGAATCCGCTGAGACACGAAATCCGTGAACGATTCGATTTCAATTCTTCGTTTTCACCTCGCGGCCGCGTTGCTTTATTTCGAATTCGGCGCGTGCAACGATCCGGGCTAAAAATATCGCGGCGCGGTCGCCTCGGCTCGTACGCGGGAGCCGTGGGAGCGAGAGGCCACGAGGAAACAACGTTTTCGTTAAAAATTATGTGCTAGCGTAGAATAGCACGCGTTCGAGCTTATGGGAAAACCCGTTGTATTTAGATGCGTTTATATTTGGGTGGGTTGTGATGTTGTCGTTCTTGCATCTTCTGAATGTCTATTGTATACCGAATTTTCGACATTCTATCAATTCGAAACGAACGTAATGGGAAATTATTCAGTAATCGTTTTCCACTTCCATAGATTTCCCTTCTATGGGGGATTTTCTTTAGCGAATTTCCTTGAGAACGATGGAATACTTTCAAGTATTTTTTTTTCAAATTTTTAAATATTAATATAATATAATATAATGTAATATAAATATTATTATTTAATATAATATTATATAATATATATTATAATATATTATATAACATTATATAAATATTATAATTTAATAATAATAATAATAGTATATAATAATTATAATTTAATATAATACTATATAAATATTATAATTTATAATATTATACAATATATTATATAAATATTATAAAAATATTATAATTTAATAATAATAGTATATAATAATAATAATTTAATATAATATTATATAAATATTATAATTTAATAATATAATTATTATAATAATAATAATATATAATATTATTAATACAATAAGTAGTGCATCTATATTGCTATATATGTGGATTTAGATTATAATATAGATTATAATATAGATTATAATATAGATTTTAATGTAGTTTTAATTTTTGAAATATTTGGTGCTACCTTTTAAAGACATACTCACTAACAGTTAATTTGGTGTCTTTCGAATATTCAGAATTTTATAGCTTTTCATAAGTTTTCTCCTGCTCACGTTTGTAAGATAACTTGCATACTACCATAAATCAAAAATCGAAATACATCGTAACAAAGAACGAGGTGTAAAAATTTACCTTTATATTCATAGTTTCTTCGACCGGTTTCCCATCGTGATACCAAGTCAATGTGGGCATCGGATTTCCTTTCGCCTCGCACTCGAGCTTCACCCTTTGACCTGCTCTTGCCATGGCATTCGACAAAGGTGTAACAAAATATGGTTTCTCCGTAGTAAATTCCGCAGCTGAAAATAAAATGTTCCAGTTGCACGAAGAAGCAACTTGTTTCCTTTTCAAATTTATAAGCTATCGAGTTTCTTACGTTCAACGTCGAGGAAAGCGGAAGTGGAGGCTTGGCCCAATCGATTCGCAGCCTTGCAAGTATAAGTGGCCTTGTCCTCCAGGAAGACTTCTTCGAATTTTAAAACAGCCTCGCCATTATTATAAGTGATGACATAGTCGGGGGAATTGTCGATGTTCACGTCGTTCTTGAACCACTGGACGGTTGGCAGGGGATTACCTTCGACGATGCACTCCATTCGATGGGAAGATCCTTCTGCCGCCATGGAAGCGATCAGCTCCTTCACGAAAACTGGCGGACTCGGTTGCTCTTCCGGCGCTATTTCTGAAAATTCATAATAAATACAGATAATACACGTTGTCGCGAAGATTTTATTGAATTTGAAAATTAAATGATATCAATCCGGTCGATTATTATTATTAAATATTGAAATTTAGAAATTTGGAATTGAACGAATTCTTTCTAGAATTTTAGAATATTGGAGAGCTTACATTGAATCGCAAAGAAATCGTATCGTAGTTAGAACTGGAATAATTATAAAATCTTATCGAAACGAATGGAAATTCTATTCACGACAGAAAAAGAAATTGCCGGAAATTATGAGATAAAATTTACTAATGTCACGAAGATGACAAAGATCAAGACACAAATATTATAACAGAAGTAAGTCCACAAAGTCGAGATGAAATATCAAAAAATTGAAAATATTATCTTTAATGTCTTCGCGTGTACGTGTGTGTGAGAAATTACCTTTGACAGTCAACGTGGCAGACGTTTCCGCCGATCCAGCGATATTGAAAGCTCTGCAAGTGTACTTCGCAGAATCTTCAGCGAAGGTTTCCTCGATCGTCAGAGTACAGACGCCGTGAATATAAGTGGTCAAATAATCGGGGTTGTTCAAAATGGAGATTCCATCTTTGTACCAAACTACTTCCGGCGTCGGTTGGCCAACGAGGTTACATTGGAAAGTGAATTTTTCTCCTTCTTGGACAGTGGCATCGTGTAGAGGAACGGTGAACTCTGGAGCCAATGGAGGGACGTTCTCTTTCAGCACTCTCTCCACTGATTTCTCCCGTATTTCTTCGGTGACGATTTTTTTCTGTGGACTTGGTTCGCGCTGGGATGTTTTCTCGATTTCCGTCTGAAATTCAAGACAAATATTAGGCTCTGAAAAGTATAGAGAGGTGAAACGATATTTGTAGAAAACTAACTATAACGAGTATGTACAAAATATACAAGCTATAACGAGGCATATGTATAAGATACAAGATAACCTTTTATTAATTAGATTTTAACATATACTTTTTAATTAATATTTTGTACTTGCGTTATATTTATTCGTATTATATATTTTTATATTTTTTAAAAATTTTACACTTTATATTTTATATTTTTATATAAAATATACTTCATATTTTTATATTTTTATATAAAATATACTTTATATTTTATATTTTTATATTGTATATTCATGTTATATATATTTTTTAAATATTATCGCGAATATCTTACACATATTACTCTAATTTTGCTAAGAGAAATACTTTCAATAATTCGTAAAGAATAACATCATTAATATACTCTGTATATTTTTATCACGATTATTTCATCTTTATCTAAAACCTATGAAAAATACGATTCATTTCCGTTACGTGACTCACGTATCTCATATATCACGTAACAAATTGAGAATGCGTCCTGTCTTCTTTCTAGTTTTCTCGGAAAAACGCTCACTTACGCGCTTTGAAGGTCGTATCGGTAATCGAAATTGTTCCATTAATGGAAGAAAAATATTTAAAAAAAAACACCGGAAATCGCACCTTTTGCAGAATGTGTATCTCTTTAGTGATGGTTGCGGAAGTGACCATCTCCTTGACGAAATTTTTGTCCGTGCTCTCCATCTTCTCAGTTTGCGCTGACACCGAAAACGAGGGAGGGGCGGGAGATTTTTCAACCTTCCTCTCTTCTTTCAATCTTTTCGCCTCGATCGTCGCTTTCTCCAGCGTCTCGGCCGCTAATTTCTCGGCGATTCTCTTCGCGTTCTCCGCTTCCTCTCTGGCCGCTTCCGCGGCAGCCATTTCCATCTTAGCCGCTTGCAACTTTTTGTCTGCCTCCTGCTTCTCGATTCTTAGCTTCTCTTGTATATCTTCCGCGTTCTTCAAGTTTTGAGCCAACGTTCGAAGTTCGGACGAGACGACGGTGAAGGAGTCCAACATTTGACGATTTTCAACGATCACCTCGTTGAACTGCGGTAATCTCTCGGTGCCTAATATAGGAAAAATAAAATAAATAAACAGGAAATATCAAAATTTCACTATTTTCAATAAAGTAAAACATTAAAAGAAAAGTGATATTTTCTTTACTGCACGATACAATCACTTAATGAATTTTATTCTTAGAAACAGATAGAATATTTTATATTATATTCGTTGTGTGTTTTGTGCAAAAATACTTTGCGTTTCAATACGAAAATTTAAACATTCTTACATATTATTGTTTGTCTATATCTTTTTAAAGCACATGGTTCAAGTTTCAATATTCTCTCTCTTAAGTTTCAAATATAATTTGAATAAAACTCTTCTTACTCACCAAATACAATCGTCGACAGTTCCTTCAGCTTCTCGATCCTCCTTTCCTGAATTTCTTCGCCCGGTTTCAAATAACGTTCAATTTCTTGCAGTAAATCCGCCGAGTCCTTCGGAGTTTTCACCGTGGTTGCCTTCCTCGCTATCACCACCAGCAACTTGCTACCCTCCCTGTTCCATTCTTTGGCTTCCTCCAGAAGCGTGAAATACTCTATGCTCAAGTTCATTCGCTTCTTCGTTTCTTCGACCTTCCTCTTCAAGTTCCTCCATCTTTCCCTCAAGAAGGAAATATCGTTCACGATTTGCGGTGTCAAAATGCTAATCGACTCTTCGGTCGTCTTTATGAACGTCTCGATTCTTTCTTCCAGAATCTGCGAAAACCAAAAATTTCGCGTGTAATTTAACAATAAAAAGAACAATGCAAATTCCCTCCAATATTATTTCTATTTTCAGTCTATTAGTCCTTTTAATTTTACAACAATTTCAGTTTTCCAAATACGTGTTTATCATATTCCATTAAGGTCTCCTTAAATCGATGTTAAATTTTGCATTATCTATTTATTCTATATTATTTAATTATTTTTTTTATTTATATTTATTTATTTTTTATTTATTTTTATTTATTTATATTATTTTATATTATTTTTTATCTATTTTTATTTATTTTATATTATTTAATTATTTATTTGTATTATATATTATATATATAATTATCTATTTTTATTTACTTTATATTATTTAATTATTTATTTATATTAATAATTATTTATTTATTTATATTATATATTGTATATTATTTTTTATCTATTTTTATTTATTTTATATTATTTAATTATTTTTTATTTATTTTTATTTATTTTATATTATTTATTTTTTATTTATTTTTATTTATTTTATATTATTTATTTTTATTTATTTTATATTTATTTTTATTTATTTTATATTATTTATTTTTTATTTATTTTATATTATGTATTTTTTATTTATTTTTATTTATTTTATTTTTATTATTTATCATATATACTACTTAATTATTTATTTTATATTATTTTTATATTACTTACTCGAATATTTCCTGCGTGGGAGGCATTTGAAAAATTCGTAACACCGTTAATCATCAAGTGACAAGAACTGAACAAAATTTATCTAGAAATCTCGCATTCTTACCGTGACAGTTTTCTCGAAATGTACGAACGAAGCAGCAGTAGCTTTAGCCGTCTGAAGGTTTTCACCAATCTTCGCGTCCACTTTCTTCAAATGTTCGTTCAAATCGTGCAGTTCCTTCTCAATTCTCTCGAGGTCCTCGGCGAAAGTGCACGTTCGTCTGTATTCTTCAATTTTGGTAGTCGTCTGCGACCAGAACAGTTCGAGATTCGTCGACAACGAGTCCACAGCACGTTTCAATTTCTCAATGTCACGAACACCGGCCTCCCACGGTTCTTGCTGTTTGATTCTAGCGATCGTCTCCTGCATCTTTAACTTGATCTGGCTTTGCTGGTCAGAAATGGTCCACTTCATCGCGTCTAACTCGTTGAACAGGGTCTCCACCTCGGATAATTTCTTCAAGGACGTTACACGTTGCGCGTGAGTATTCAGTTGCTCGATTTTATGCTCGACCTTAAAGTAAGTGAGTAAAATTAGTAAACTATTATTACATAGAAAAGCAAAGTTAGAAAATTATTATTATAGAGGAAAATAAAGTTAGAAAATTATTATTATAGAGAAAAACAAAATTAGAAAATTATTATTATAGAGGAAAACAAAATTAGAAAATTATTATTATTATTATCACAATTCATATTAAAACGTTTCTAAATAATGTTTCAAACAACTTTCAATAGCATAAAAAAAAAAGTATAATTTGTTCTTCGACAATCGTTTCACTTTTCTTGCTGGAATACGAATTCGAACTTTTTCAAGTTTGGAAGAATACTAATTATAATTCGAAAGAATTCGCCACTGAAACATGCAAAGTGATACTCTACCTCTTTTATATTCTGGAAGATAGAAATCAGTAACTCAAGAAGTGTTTCGTAATCCCTAGCAGTCGCACGAAGATCCTCGTGCATCTGACGAAGTCTCTTCAGGATCTCATCGTCGATTTGTATTTCACCTGATTCAGAATATTTGTTAGAAATTTTTCAGAGCAAAATCGAATGTGTCATTTTCAGTATATTTCAATCTATATTTCATTTGATCGTGAAATTAGCTTCTCCGAATTTAGTTTACTTTTGAAATTACCTTCCCGAGCCAGAGTGTTTATTCCTTTGATCCTCGAGTCCAACTCGTTGACAGCTTTGTTCAATTCAGGTAGGATACGATGTTTCGATCCTGCTAAATCTTGAAGAATGCTCGCTGTTTGAGAAGACTGAGACGTTATCACCGGATACAATTGCTCGGTGAATTTGGAAACCCATTCCATTGTCTGGAGAAATAAATGGATACGCTCATTCGATACGTAATTACGAAACGTGGATTTCGTATCGTGAAAGAGAAAATATGTGGCACTTACTCTTGTACTTTCCTCGACTTTTCGTTGATGCTCGATTCGTTTTTCCCTCAAAATCTCGATCGTGGTCCTCCACTTTTCCCACGATTCTGTTACAGTCAGTTGCCTGTTGGCAAACTTCTCCAAAAGAGTCTGCACGCATATGCATGCTCTTGGTACATCCAGATAGGGGTCATCGATCTGAAAAGTAGGGTACCTTACAAAATTATGGAATTCATAAAATTCATAAAGTTCGTAATTCTTTATGCATTCGACGTTAACCCTCGATGGAATATTTATAAAAATCGCTCAAATTCCTAAAGGTATTATAAATTTATAAAATTCATCATTATTTCTCGTACGCTCGTTACGAACGTTCGACGTAAATTTAACGATTAAAAGTGACATTCGTTACCTTAATAGCAGAGTCCAGAAACGCTTTTCCAGTGTTGGTCAGCTTCACGTAGAGCGGCTGAAGATCCTTCCAGCGTCTTCCAAGCAGCTCGATCTTCCTCTCGTCCAAAACGTCGGTGTGCCTCTTCAACTCGCCTTCGATCGATTCAATCTCCCTGGTCAGCTCCTCAACAACCACGTGGAATTGCAAGTAAAGCGATCCAAGATCAATTCGACTTGCTACCAGCTCCTTCGTCCTCGACCAAGAATTCTTCAACTCTTCCACCTTCGACTGTAGCTCTAGCTTTTGTTCCTCGTCCAGTCGTTCTCTGATCGGTAAAATCTCGAACTCCAGATGCTCGACATCGTCGGTTCTTCGTTCGAGGTCGTCTAACAGCTGACGATGCAGCCGACAGAAATCATCCGCCATCGGGACGTCGCTGCCCATGTCTTGGTGACCCTGGAGAAATGCTTCGGGTATACTCATCAGCCACTTTCTCAGCTCGTCGTGCTTGTCCAAGAACGTGTTTATGATCCTTGATATCTCGAGGTTCTCCTTCTCGTGCGCTGTGCATCGTTCCATCAGACGGATCTTCCGGTTTTCTAACTCCTCCACCAGTCGTTTCACACCCTGAGAAATAAAAAAGAGAGGCTTGCAGGTCTGAATGATTAATAGAACAAGTAACACGTTGGTATTTTGGTATTTGTATTTGTACTCTTGGCTATTTAAATTAAAATAGAAAATGGAAATTTCAGTCTATGAAAATATACAAACAATTCTTTGTTTATTATACTGAAAGTATTGTATTTAAAATAAAATGAAAATTTCAGCCTTTGAAAATATACGAATAATTCTTTTTCTATTATACTTCTGATCTTAGAGTAGGTTAGATTCGGCATTTCAACTTCAATCGAAATTTAACTCAACTATTTATATTGTTTGAGCATTGCTTATTTATTATTTAAGCGTTATTTATTTATTAATTTCAGCATTGTTCGAATCGAATCAAAATTTCACTAACTAAATTAAACTAAAAAAATTTAAATTCCAAGTATTTCTATATTACCTTAATAAAGTGAGAATTTTAATTCAGCATTTTTATATCTACTTTTTTGATTAAAGAAATTTACATTCTCGTGAAATCACGAGAAGTGAGAATTTTAGATAAAACTTCTGAAAATTATAAGACTCGAATTTTAAAAGTGGATCAAATCTTCAAAAACTGTGAATAATCCAGGCAATGATGTTTTAAAAACTAGATTTTAATTAGATATTTAATAAAGAGAATCGACTAGAAATCAATCGTTCATTCGAAGAATTTCATTGACTGTGCCAGTTAGTGCGTCACAATTAAGAGTCGAACGATTACTGTTTGGATCTAACCTCAGCCCCCGGCGCTCCTCTTCCTGTGACATCCAGAAGGGCGTATCCTTCCGCCAAAGGTTTCGCGGTGACGTCTTCGATGGTGGCAACCGTCTGAGCATGGAAACGAGCTAATTTCGTCGAGTACGGTGGATGCTCCGTCGTTACCAGCTGAATCTCCAACTGATCTAACTTTGTAATTGCCTGATCGAAGTGAAAATTAAGAATTTCAATGCATCTATTGTATTTACTATATTGAAACTTACTATATTTCAATATATTTCAATATACTGCAGTTTTTATTACTATTAAATACGTTTTCTATATTAGTAGGATATTCAATACGAGCATACATGTATTTTTTCCTAAATAAAAACATAGAATGTTTTTTATTTGAATTATAAAATATTTAAATATAAAAATTAATTATGAAATATTTAAATACAAAAATTAATTATAAAATATTTAAATATGACAGTTAATTATGAAATATTCAAATATAAAAATTTAAATTATAAGAATTAATTATAAAAACACAGATGTTATTTCATTTTCTGAGAGCTTCTCTATTCTGTTTTTAATTCTGAATGAAAAATACAGTATTTCGTTCTTGATAAATCGAATGACGACGCGAGTGTCGAGTAGGGCAAGGAGATCAATGCTCACCGATCTCGCCGAATTGAAGAAGGCCACCGCTCTATTCAACAATGACTCGTACTGATCCAAATCGTTGACGTAATCAGCCGCGGCGCCAAGGATCGCATAAGCTTGTTCTGTCGCCTGTTCACCGGCAAAGTGTCCCGATGACACTAATCGTTCGGTCGACTTCGTTATTTTGATCGATCTGTCTTGAAATTCCTAGACGATTTTTTTTTTTTTTAACAGAAACAATTGGATCAAAAATCATGTAGCAGCACTTTGACAACAACATTTTATTGTAAAATATTTTATTATTATCATATTTTATTATCAAAATTGCTCATCAATCTTTTAAACGTGCCAAGTACCCGAAACAGATATAACAGTAGCATAATTTGCAATTGTCAAAATGAAAAAAAATTCCTGTTATTCAATGAATACCTTAGCTTCAGCTTGTAGTTTCTTTAATTCGAACAGGAGTAATTCCGCGCTCGACGCAGAATCCCCCAGCTGATCGCAGCTGCTCGATAGAGCAGCGATCCTGTCGTTCAAAATCTCCTCGAGATCGCGTAGATCGGTCGCTAGCAGAGCTAGAGCCAGGCATTGCTCCAATTGTGTCTTTCTGCTTCGAAACGACGCCTCGATCAGCCGCCTTCTGTCGTGCAACTCCTCCAGCCACTTTTCCACCTGCAACACCGCTGTAGAAAAACAAAATAGAATTAAATATCATTAGACAGTTTGCTTCTCCAGTCACTGAGAATAAAAAATTCGAAAAACGTATTTAACAAAGAATGAAAATTTTTTAAACGAAGGATTCCGTCGTAGTTTCAAATCGAGAGATATTAACGAATCTTATCTAAAAAAGGGAAGTTTCGATTGCGAGATAATTGATTCGTTCTCTCAAGAACGCGATCCATCATACCAAAACGGAGCGAAAGGAATACATCGCTGTTATGTCATCGATTAAAAGCGAAAGGGAGCGCGCGAAGAAAACAGCGACATTGAATGTAATGAACTGTTTTCCAACGGAAACATTAATTACAACCGCTCACCGTGGTCAGCTTCGAGCTTAATCCTATCCGGTCTTGAGTCCAAGGTGCCTTCGTTCGCGATCTCCTTCAGCCGGTCCAACAGATTCTTCCCTTCTTGCAGCGCGCCCATCAACGCCTCGAGCATGTTCTTCCGAAGATCGTGGATTTTCGACAGAAAGTTCTTCACCGCCTCGATCTCGATCGGCAACAACGTGTCGTTGCATGCCATCTCGAGGGCTCTCATACTTTCCCGACACTCCTCCGCTCGACTGTTGGTTGTTCAAAATATTTTTTATTCTATTTCTATTTAATTCTATACTCTATACTATATGCTCTATGCTTTATGCTCTATGCTCTATGCTTTCTACTCTCTACTCTATACTCTATACTCTATACTCTGTGTTCTATGCTTTGTACTCTCTACTCTCTATTCTCTACTCTATACCCTATATTCTATACTCTATACTCTCTACTCTCTACTCTATACTCTATACTCTCTACTCTATGCTCTATGCTTTCTACTCTATACTCTATACTCTATACTCTATGCTCTATGCTTTCTATTCTCTACTCTCTACTCTCTACTCTCTATTCTCTACTCTATACTCTATACTCTATGCTTTCTACTCTATACTCTATACTCTCTACTCTCTACTCTATACTCTATACTCTATACTCTATACTCTATACTCTATACTCTATACTCTCTACTCTCTACTCTCTACTCTCTACTCTCTACTCTCTACTCTATACTCTATGCTTTATGCTTTGTACTCTCTACTCTCTACTCTATACTCTATACTTTATACTCTATACTCTATACTCTATACTCTATACTCTATACTCTATACTCTATACTCTATATTCTACACTCTATACGCTATACTCTATATTCTATTTTTATTTCTATTGTGAGCTTGTAATACAGTTTTATGTAGTTTATAAAAAGAAAAGAGGATCCGTGTATTATCATTCTATGCTATCTTATATATTATTCTATCGTGAGTTTATGAAAAACTTTTATACAGTTTATATAAAAAGAATTCACTGATTCTCTTCATTCAAATAAGTGGTAAATGAATTCAAGAGTTTATTTGATCAAATGCTAATTAAAATCAAGTTCAAATAAATGAAGATATCGATAGAATGGAATAGAAAAATCTGTAATTAGTCGCCGATTCTTCAGAGAATTTTTTATATTCATTAGAATAAGATTATGAAGAAAATCGTTAAAATCGCTCTTGAAGTAAATAAGTCTACGAACCATTGAAACAACACATTGGAGTCGAGTATCTGTTTCCGACGTTCCAAAAGCTCGTTCACGTCGCGCCAGGCTTGGCCCAATGTTTCCGCCATCGCGGCGTACACTTCCGCTCTTGGCCTTTGGTTCGAGATCAACTGATCAGCCTGCCGGAGCAATTCCTCCACCGGGCTCTGTTTGCTCTTTTATCAAAAGTTAATTCATCCTCATTGAACAATTTGTTACATTCATTAACATCTGAATTTTCACATATTTTACAAATATAAAAGGCAATATACACGAAGAAATTTTCTTTTCTACAGACACAGAGTAGAAGGAGACTATTTAAGTAGAAGGAGAGACACGATACCATAAAACAATTATAATATATCAGAAAGATTAATTTCAAAGCAGAAGAATATTACAAAAGTTCCTCCATGCGCTGGATTTATCTTCAAAATTTTTTTCACAAGTTTTAAAATATCAGTAATGATATTACTGATAAAATAATCAGCTTTAAATAATAGTAAAAACTAATATATATTATATATAATATATATTTATATATTATACTATCCTTATTATATATAATATTAAATTATTATACATTTTATATATAATATATATATTATATTATTTTTATTATATATATAATATATATTATACTATCTTTATTATATATATAATATATATTATATAAACTTTCAGCTTTAAATAATATATAAAAACTAATTTATATAATTATCATATAATATTAATTAATTTATTTATTTATAATTATTATATATAAATATTAATGTATAAATACTAATTTCAGAGCAGAGGAGTGTCTAATAAATTTCTCCATAATAATGAATTTATTTTCAAAAATTTGTTAACAAGGTCTGAAATTATTAATAATAATATTGTAAACGAAGTAATACCTGCAATCGAAGCAGAACTTCGTCGTGTGCATTCGACAGCTCGGTAGCTTCCTTCACCGTGGCACCGAGCTTCGTTAGTTCTGGTTGAACCTCCAGAACCTTCAATCTCAGCCATTCCCCGCTCTAAATCAGATACAAACAGAACGAAAAGAAGTTTTATGCTCGTTAGTCCATTTCGATAATGAGAAACGTACGCGGGCATAAATAATATTTGCTAGCGATTCACCGTCGTAAAGCTCGTATATGGCAACGATCATACCTCGAGACGCGTAATACTAAACGAATGGTCATTGCCATTTTAGGGAGTCTCGCGCGTCGTCGGATGAACTCGGAAAATGGGAACAGCTGCTTCATTGAACTCTCGAACGATGAAACATGACGAGAAAGTAAATGAAGTAAACTCTTTTTCTCATTTATAATTTGTACAGATTTCACTACATTCGACGATTCTAATTGCTGACAGTAATTCAATTTCATTAATGATTATTAAATTTATTCGAATCAAAGAACGAAATGTCGCGTTAAATTAAAATTTACGTAATGTCTTTCTGTAATTTAAGCACGACCACGTGATTCTAGATAATTTACATTCAATTTCTCAGAAATCAGATGATTTGGCAATAAATTCGTTAACTGTCATAGTACGAATGTCGAGATAAATTTGAAAAAAATAATATTTGTGCCTTCACTTTTTAATTTACGATCTTATCGTAATTCAATTTTATTTTCGAATCTCAGAAGCTTGAACCTTTTGGACTTTAAAATGGGAATAACAATAAAAATTCGTTAAATAATATTAAGCGTGTTATGCGTTGAATTAACTTGCAAGAAAGTGCAAATGAAGGCCGTAAGATCGCACATGTGACGTGCTTGATCGCAACAGGCCAGGCAATGTCCCTTTTGTTCTCTGGATTTATTTCAAATCGTTTTCGAGACAAGACGTAAACGAGAATTCAGAAACCATTTCGACAACGGTTTGTTTATCCCAACTGGCTGAGATACCATCGATCTAATTTTTCTTGTTGCAAGAACGAGTCAGCGTTCGCGCGTAACATCGATCTTCCCTTAACCGAATTGTAAACTGCGTCTGTGAAAATAGCTAACAATGTTTGCACGCGTGTAAACGTAACGACGGGTTAACGAACGAACAGAGACAAAGAAAATACTACTACCGACTAACACTGTCGTTAACGTGAATTTTCCACAAGCAAAGTATAAAATTTTTACGATAGAAATTGGAATGAAAATGCACGAATGCTCGTATATTTTGTTAAGGATTTAAATCTTCTAAAGTGCATGCAGTTTATAGTCGTATATTTTTATTTTAAGAGTTAAATCATTAAATTATCAAGACTTCTATGAATATTTACGGATTAGTCGATACCAAAAGAAACAACAGAAGAGTATAGAATATACAATTCAAATCCTTTGATCACTTAAATGTTCAAAAACGTACAGTTGCAAATTTATAAAATTATAAATTGATCATTCGACTAATTGTAATTTCAAACAATGTTAATTCTGCAAAGTGCAGACAAAATTATGAAAAAGGAGATTTCTATAAAGAAAAAGTAAACTGAACGTTCGTCTCCCCTTTTCGTATTATTTTTTAACTAAATGATGAATGTGACGTGAGAAATACATACTATAGTATAACGTAGACTATATTCGAAGCTTGATTCATCATCTCCAAAATTATCTGATTATTTTATATTCGGGAGTGTGGAATTTCTATCACGTAATCCATTAAATCACACTTTCATAAGGTTCGTAATATTCACAAGGAAGACGAGATATTTTCAAAAATATTCGACAGAACAATTGAGAGCGATAATTCTCGTTTCGTGGACACACAAATTATACAACTTTGTTATCTCGACGACTAAAGTTCTTCGTTTTAAAGAAACTATGCACATATATCTGTTCGTATGCAAATGGATCTATTTATGGAATCGAAGACGTGTTCTATTTTTTCTCGAGCACATTAACTAGTTCACAAGTCCTATCTACCTTCATTTCTCTTTTTTGTTTACGATTAGAGACCTTTCTTTAGAAAATTTCTTCCACAATTAAAGCTCTTCGACAACTTGACTCTTAACGTTATCGTTCATTGACTTTCATATAGGAGATTCATTTTCATTTCAGTTCATTCGTCACCCGTACAAAAATAGAAATTTCGAGTCTTTCAGAAATTTTCTTATTTGCTTTAAAATCTTTAGAAAGTAATCTGTAAAAATCCATTGAAACTTCTATTAAAATCTGGTAGTTTAGAAATTTTTTTGAAATTTGTATCATTCATGTTTTTTTTCTTTTATAATTGAAAATAATATTTTTCCAAGAGTGATCTATCCGTTACAATATTCAAATGAACAATTTCATTAGCAGTCCCGGAGTCATTCGTCGTCAATTGATCAATCAGCATAGAAAATTGCGAATTTCAAATCCACAGATTACGTCCCACTTCTCTCGTGCACGTCATTCGAATCGTAATCGTATTAAAATGAGGTATTACAGACCTCTTAAGTATCGACAATCATACGCTTGAGATTAATCACCCAGATTCACGATGAATCGACGATCGATCGACCATCAAATATCAATGATTTCTAATCGAGTGCATCGTTGATCGAACAAACGATCGATAATCGTAACACTTTCTCGCCACGTCGAGCACATGTCAATAAGACAGGGATTGTTTTAATTCAACGACGATGATCATTGATCGGTTTAAATGAACGATGGCGTTTCATTGCCGAACGTGAAACAGCTAAAAGAAGAACACCGTCCGTTTTCAATGCGATGAATAATATTTGAATTAAAATTAGACGGCGAGAGGCCAAACCTCGAGGCTTCTTGTTCAACAGACATCGTTAAAAACGAACAGATTTTCCTGCAGTTCTCGAGAATCATTTCGAGAATGTCACGTCATCACACTGTTTCGTAACATTGGGAAGTATTATAGAAATTTAAATGGTACTTTTGGCGTTTGAAATTATTTTTGGCATTTAAAATAGAGGTAGAAGCATTCAAATTGTATTTATAATTTATTTGTTGTATTTACAATTTCAAATTGAAATTCACTTTCAATTTCATGCTTGTAGATTTGACGTTTAATATGGAATATGAACAACATTATATCGTTGTTTTTTAATGATATCTGTGAAATTACATTACCAAAGAGTAATTTATAGTGTTAAATTGTAAAATATTTGACGTGGTTAAAGAAGTAAAATCCGAGTAGAAGTTGATTTCATCTATTAAATATTTACTTATAAATTTATTATATTTGCATTTAATACATTTTCGACTTTCAATAAATGCATAAACTTCTATAATCTACTGGCGGATGCTAAAGGAATTATGAGAGCGATAAATAAACGTACGCTAATTAAAGTTGCAATTACGTTAATACAGTTAATGTTATGCGAAGGATTATCTATGTATACGTTGTTCACGCATTTACGACTAAAGTCCGTCAAAGTATAAATCTGTTTGAAATATAAAAGAAAAGTGTCTATCGTGCAGAATATGTAAGTTTTACAAATACGCATGCGAAATATCTAACCTAACTTAAGAAGAATGTAAGAAACACTTATAAAAGATACAGGTACGTCACACCAAAGATATGTAGCGTGCAAATTGAAGAAAAAACTTCGCTTTATCACAGATGCCAAAACAAGAAACATTTCCAATCACATTGCAACTGCCAATATGCATAGATAAAGTACTATCCTAAAAGTATCTGTCTAAACGTAGAAAAAAATTCATTTTATCGCTGCTGATAAAATAAAAAAATTTCTAATCATCTACAATCTCAGCTGTAAAATATATATATATACTGCTAAAGCCAACATAGTAGAAAGAAATATTTAATCCATCTCTTACGCATACCGAAATTAAAACAATTCCAATAATATCGTGATTTCAAATTTGTAGAATGTGTATTTGCTGAAAAATCAGTGGTGTAAACTGCGAGAATTGAAACGTAAATTTAAGATTGAAAAAAGAAGAAACGAACGACTGTCACGAGATAGACAGGAGATTCCGACGAGTCGAGGCTGGCTAGATATCCGCGCGAAATTTTCTTACACGTAAACGACATTGGTACTCGTTCGGTGGTGACATCACATCCCTGTTGGTTGTGCCAGCGAGTTTATTTGCAGCGAATCGTCGCCGCGTCATTCTAAATCCTTCGTTTACGCGCGATCGCCGTTCTCCCAGAAGAATTCTCGCCCGTGCCGCCCACGTCCAACTCTTTTTCTTGCCTCAAGTTCAAGCGTTACATCGTCTTCATCCTTGAGGATTAAATTTCAGAGGGGAGAGATTCGTTTAAATTCGCCGATTTCGACAAGCATCCCTACGAAGAATGTGACACAACTAGAAAAAGCATTTTCTTTCGTTTTCTTCTTTTTTTTTTTTTTCTGGAGAGGCGAGAAACTGGTTTTGAATTAAATATTATTTTGTTAATTAATGAAACAACGAAGCTCAAAGTAACAGACCTCTCACTTGTCAATGTGCGTTTGTTCGCAATGATGGTCAGGAGGAAATTCATAATAAGAGATATTTATAGATACAGGACAGTGTCACATAAATCAATTTTCATCCACCAAATTACGAAGCTCGATGAATAAGTGTTTTGTAATTTGAACTGTCTCTGTAATATTCGAAAATTGTGTTTTGAAAGTTGTGTCATTTTCTTTAGAGAAAGCGTCCATTGTTCGTCCAATTTGATCGTGACTTAGTACTTGGTCCAAGAGCTCTGAATTAATTAGAAATTTCCGCATTGACAAGTGAATATTCGAATTAATTACACGTGATAATTTTAAATATCATTGCATCACGTTCGCATGTTTTATTCAATTCCACGTATCCTATTTAGATTCTCCTAAACTACTATTTGGATTTTAAATTTCTTCTATTACATTTTCTTAGTTTATAGAAAATATTCTCATTTTACGAATTTTCTTATTTTATAAAGTTCAACTAACAATTAGATTTTGTTGTTTCAATTTCTTATTTCCTTCATACACTTCTTATTCGACTGAAAAAAATATCTAGATCTTTTAATTTTATATCAATACGACAAGCATCCGAAAAATTTAATAGTATGATGTATCTGTTAT